CAAGTGGTAGATGGACAATATATGTACATATATTCATACTTTCGTATATTTGATTTTGGAATTCATTCATGATTATAGCAATTTTGTAATCGTCCTTGGAAAAGGTTCAGTATTGAATCTGGTTTCTGGTGCATTACCAGAACTACACTAGTTCCTGTTAAAATGTTGGCTTTGTAATAGCATATACTTTCATACATGTATGTATGTATGTATACAACATTACCATCAAACTTACACTGCGCCTTCTGAACGCTTATTTAAGGTAACTACACCATGCAAAAAATACTTGATACGGTGCTGGCCAATCGGAGATCGAAACTATGCGAGATCGTTGAAGCCATATATGTATATTTATCCCAACGTCTATGTATTTTAGATTAGCACTTGTAAGGAATCGAAAGAACGATGCGTATAGATTTCAAAAGGAACTATGTTCTAAACTAGATAATTTTTTTAAACCGAAAACATAAACCCTTATTCAAAAGTCACAGACCAGACCTCGTAAAAACATTGAAGACCAACCCATTAGTGAATAACGTTTACATACCGCACGTTACCTTTTGCCCAGCAGCATATCACCTTGAAATAGGTGCACTCCTCAGAGGTGACTTTAACGCACACCACGATATTTGGCATTCAAGCCTGCCAACGACAGTAAGTAAATGCACTTGGCTTAACAGATAGGCCATTTAATATTCTGCGCAATGATCGAGAACGTTATGGGCAGCTGCAGCAGCTTGCCGGACATAACAATAGTTAGCGCTGGGGTGATAGACAGCAAAACGAAGTGACCTTGTCCATAGTCACCTCGATTGGTAAACCTGCAGACTGGGACAGCTTCGCGGAAGTTTCCGAGAGAAAAATCAGCGCTCACCCCACACCAAGAGACATTTATGCTGGCGAACGGTAATTCTGGAAGGTGCCTACTGCCGCATCCACCGCTTCATCTCTGCTGGATGAGCTTCAACGGAACCGTAAATGGAAGCAGACCTGGGTCCGAAGAGCCCGTTGTGTTGCCGTTTTCGCTGGATGCCGACCGGGCTCCTAGAAGTATAATTAATTAGGTTTATTTACAGCTTCTCCTCCGCTGAATTGGTCATGTCGTACTATTTAATCGACACAAACGCTTCAGCTTGGAATGTAATCGAGTCTGAACATACTGGTGGTACCAAAGGAATAAGGAAGCCTCCTCTGAGATGGAAACACCGGGTGGAGAAGGACCTGGCTTCACTTTGTATTTTAAGTTAGCGTCAGTTGGCACAAAAGAAAAGCGACTGCCATCGTTTATCGAACTCGTCCAAAATCAGTCAGGCGGTTACAGCCTCGAACGAGAAGAAGAAGGAGTTTTATAAATAAAGTGTTGAGGACAGCAATTTTTGGCGAGCGTAAGTTTGTAAGACAGTCGACAAGATGCTGAGTCCTGCCATTGTCAATGAAAGTACTCGACGCTTTTGACTTCCCCTTCGTCTTGACAGTCTCGGCAGAAATTTGTGTTGAAAAGTCCATTCTTCTCGTGTGCATTCCCTTTAGGCAGTGAACAGTGATGATTACAAAATTCTCATTCTGAGTTCGTCCGAGGTTTTAAGCCACAGGTTGTAGGATAAAAGCGATATAACCACTTCATGGGAGGTTTTTTTAGTAGTAAGGGGCCTTCCAATCCTGGCCAAAGGTCAATGTCCAGGAATCCAAATAATACTTGTGATGTAGGTGCTTGAATGCCAGCTCCTTTTGAATAAGCACGTCTGCATTCGAAAGCTGTTTTAGAGGCAGTTGCCCAGCATTCTAAAAATATTATAGTAGGACTGTGCCTTCTTTTAGGTCAAAATTAGCTCTAATCAGCTGCAAAGTGATTTTTTCAATAGCTATCAATTCAGCTTGAAACACACAGCAGTTATGTGGAAATTAGAAGAAAAATTTAAGTGAATGTTCCACTTTCTACTCTCTGTTCCAGCTTGAAGCTGTATTTGACGGTAGAATTGGAGTAGGGTTACAGAGGGAAGCCATTTTCCAAACTGGCGGCTGGTGTTGAGTAGTTTTGATACATCAATTTTGTAGAACAGATGTCGAGTACCTCGGAGTGATCAAGTCCTGTGTCCCTCCATTCTGCCAGAGCGAAGGATAACAGGGAAGAAATTGATTAGGGTGAAGTTTAGCGGTCCCGAGATGAGCATGCACTATTCGTGGATTTCTCTAAGAATGTCCACCAGGACAAGACAAAACAAAACAACAACAATATCCTAGAAAATTCATAACAATAATCGTAGTGCGCTAAGTTTACCGATATATACATACTGATCAGAGAACGCGACTTAAAGCATAGACTGATTGTTTCAGAATTATTTCGGGAATTAACGGCAGTTGATCCTGATTAATACATGCCGCTAATCCTCAAAATTAATGCGGACCAGGGGAATTTTTGAAGACAACAATGGCCAAAACTGCCAGTCCTTGTCTATTGTATAAGTAAGCAAACAAAGCAAGCGAGTTTGGTATCCGCGGTAGCCGAGTGGTGAGGGCAGGTTACTACAATTCCGAAGCACCCAGGTGCGATCCTCGGTTCGAGCGATTGCCTAAATTTTTTATTTTAATTATTTATTATCAGTTAATTAAAATTTGTATGGCCTAATTCATAAAAAATAAATTAAGTTTAAAAAGCCTTATAAATTGACGTTTTCATACAATTTTCAATGTATAAAGCTTTTTTAAATCTATTTTATTTTTTATGAATAAATCAATGTATAAAGCTTTTTTAAATCTATTTTATTTTTTATGAATAAGGCTATTAGAATTTAATTTTAATGAAAAAGGAAACAGCCATTATAATTACGAAAAAATATAAGTAATAATTGAGTGAATTAAAAAAAAGCTAATGAATACTCCACTGCTAGTGTGACTAGAACACAGACTTCCCGGCTCGTTACTCCGCATTACTGCCATCTGCAATAGTACAAATTTGATCAGATCAACTGCGCCGTTAATCCGGATCAACGTTGCTGTCTGTCCATGCCTTTACTTCACTTGGTACGAAATATCATATTATTTGAAGTTTTCGTTGCGTCGAATTTTTGCAAAAAAAAATAAAAAATATGTAACAGGACTGGAAGATCTATTCAGATTTTTTGACTATCCGCATAATCCGGATATTTGAATATCTGAAGAAAAATTCCGAATATTCGGATATCCCAACAGTTTGTTGATATTCGGAGATGCGAATTTAAAGAATAACGAAAATACCAATTGCAAATTAATGAAGCGTTCTAAAATTTATTTTGCAACCTGGTAGATTCAGTAATTTTGACAAAAATTTTACACATCGTTAAATAAACGGATATCAATCGGATATCCGAATTTAATCCGTACACGTGAATATCCGAACGAATGTTCGAATATACATACGTATATTACCAGCCTAGGATATGTGTGTTTAGGATTTTCAAAAATTGCGAGCATTTTTTGAATGTAGTAAAAAAAAATTCGTCAAAATATATTCCAGTAGCACAATTTCTTATGGGCTGTGAGTGGGTTAATGTGAAAAACTGAAAATTTAGATACATTTGCAGGTACACAAAAACTTTGCAACCACTCTAACCTCACACACAAACACCACAGCAACTTGTGTTCGATATGATTTTTCATTATTTCTGCGCATACGTGCAAATTCGTCAATTAATGAATGCGAGAGCGCAATTAGACAGCAAATACAAAAAACAGGAAGCCCCCACAACAGTACAAAATTTAAAATCAAATCGTAAAAGCAATTATGCGCGCCATCTATCGGCCCGCGCAAAAGGAGCTGAAATGCTTGATGAAATCGAACAAAGCGAGCGCATAGCGGCAACGAAATAAACGGTAAACAAAACAAACGGACTCATTCAGATGCATTGAAGTGGAGGCAAAACATAGGCAACCGCCAGAGTGAGATGGCAAGAGTGGGCGCAAATATGTAGATCAAAACAAAAAATTACAGAAATGTGGAATGGAAGACTGAAGTGTGTGTGCGAGTGTGTGTGAAGAGCTAACGGATAAAGCAGCAGTAGAGCGAAAATCTAGAATCTCACGGAAAAAGGAAGTAGAGAAATATTTTTTGAGGATTGAGTGTGAGTGTGTAAATGAATGCGTGTGTGTGCGGATGTATGTCAAATGTCTGATTTGCTTTGCTGTTTTGGCGAATGCAAAGGAATTGCATTGAAAAATTGTTATACATACAATTTACGAGTGAAGGCCGGAAGGATAAAAGGTAGAGCGAGGACAAAAATTGGGTTTGGTGTAGAGTTTTTGAATACTGTTACGGCATGGCGTAGAAAACGCGCATTCACATACACACATGCTAGTTTAGCAGAGTGCACAGTGATGGCTGCCACTTCCGGCTACCATATGTGGGCTTTTGATTGCTATCAACTATACTTAGAGCTGTGGCAAAAACGGAAAAAATATTGAAATAAAATGAAGTTAGGGTATGAGGGATGGAAAATAATATAAAGCAAAAAATAAATAAAATAAAAAATCGTTAGACAGCCGTCAGACAGTGGTGTGCAGTGTGAGTTGCAGGCAATGGAATAAAGGTTAGAGCGCCCACTGCCACACGCCTGCCACCCAACTTAGTTAAATGTATAATGTGTATTAGCAAAAATCCATAGAAATGCTGATGAGCGCTGCAGACAGCATTGCTGCGCAGCATTTGCTCGGCTAGTCGATTTGACGACGATTCAATTGCTCAACTAGCCAAGCAGCAGTGACGTTTTTCATTGGCGAAAAATCAATAAAAATGTTTGTATAATTTGCTTTTAAAATTTTTGTCCAACTAAACACATACCTACAAATGTATCAATGTACATACATACACGCACAAACTTGCATACAAATGTATGTATGTGCGTACATGCATGCATATGTACATAAAATCAATTCGACTTCAAAGGCCTCGAGACAGCTTAATTTTAATTATAGGTTCGAAAAAAAAATCTACTAATAAAATATTTTTTACTACTTTTTCTACTCACCAACATTGCCGTAGACATTTTCGCTGCTTGTCGTTGCATCCACACGCCTGTGAATTTCACACTTCAATAATTCCGCTGCAATTCCCTTGCATATGCCTTGACGGCTGCAGAAATTGTACGCACTTAAAAATTTACTTCATTCCGCTTAGGCAACGAAGTGTGAAAAATATGCAAACAAATCTTTTATTTACAAGTACTTAAGCCCGTTCGGCAGGTTACCACACTCGCCAGCAGCGTTGCGTCCCACCCAATGGCATTTCTTTATCAGTATTTTTTTCCTCCTTTATATTTTTATTTTATTGGATTTTTTTTTTACTTTGTGCACAACAAATTCTCACACTTTGGCTCAAAAAGCGTTTTTCTATGGCACTGCTAGCGTCAACGACTCGCCTCAGACTCAGACTCCAGTAGCGTCTCGGACTCCGACGCCGTTACCGTTACCCGTCACTTTTGCCATTACACTACCAAAACCAAAGTACAAAGTGTTCCGCCACACTGTGTCGTCCGTGTGTTCCTCCTTTCAGCGGCGCTGCAATCTTCTCCACTGCCGTTAATAAAATATATTTTTCCTTACATTTACGCACACACGTACATACACTCCAAAGCTTACTCGCATTTGCAGAGACACACTTAGACAGTAAGTACGGCCGTACGTCGCAAGCGACGAGGAGAAAATGGCGTCTACTCTTCTACCTACGGAAAATCCGTTTGTGGCACTTTGGCTCTTAACGTTTAGCTTTTCTGTTGCTGGCTGATGGCCGCCACAACACACACTGCCACATGTGGCCACCACATCGTCACAGTGATAGTATACCGTTATAGTCGGTACTCAGCGACTATACAACGACAACGATGGGGATGGGTGGCGAGGTCGTCGGCGGCGCCAACGAATTGTTGATTTTGTTGCTCCTCCACTCGCCAAAACGCTCCCAAATGCGCACCAGCCCTCCTACGCCCACTAACCCTTAGACACACACACATACAATCAAACGTGCTCAGCAGCCTGCACTCACTCGAAAGAATTATTTGTTGGCGTTGTAAAAGTGTTTAACTTGGCTGGCGGGTTACGTTTGGTTGTTGGTGCTGTTGGTATTGTAGGCAACCGTCCCGTTATCCCTAGTGTTGTCATCAAATGCCAATTGAATAATAATTGCATTTATCATAGGGTAACGGTAAGTTGGTAAAGGTTTCATTGCCTGCTGCTGCTATTCAAATATGGCGCTCACTCTCTCGCACACCAGCTCTCGCTCACTTGCTCAGCACAGCGGCTGCACTCTCCTAAGCACAAAGTGGGAAATTGCACGCATACAGTGACAAATGGATTTGTGTTGGGTGGGAAATTTTATACGTGGCGGCCCTTTTTCACTTGGCGCTATAACCTCGTTCGAAAACCAACGGCCCACCACACCCCACTAACTCACTCTTCTCAGCTATTTGCCAAGCCTGACGTCCGCGTCGTCGCATTCCTAAAAGTTTTCCCAAACCTTCGAAAGCCCTATGGCGCAAATTTAAGTGAGAGAGCTTCTAGCTTTTACTGCCCACTTTCTCAACCCCCGATTGTCTGTTGTGGGTATTCATGTATGCGCGCCTATGTGTGTGTGTGCAAAAATAGCAGTAGTATCAGCAACAAGGCCAACAATAATAGCCAAAAACAATAACAAAAACAAAGGCGCGTTTATTTTTGTACATTTAGCAAATCGATAAATAATTTTAATTGTAGTGTTGCATATGCGAATTCGCTGGCAGAGAGCAACAATCGTGTAGTCCGCACAAGAATACAAATGTATTTATGTACAAAAATATGTACATATGTGTGCATGCATGTGTGGTTATAGCAGATATTGGTAGTGCAGGCAATTAAAATTCTTAAAATGTACATAGTTTCTTTAGAGGCGGAAGCATTCAATGCCTATTAACCCTAAATATGTACATGCTACCGTCCAATACCGTTTCCCTCAGGGCATCACCCCTAAGTATTTTGTCGGGAGTTGTTTTGAGCACGAATCACTATGACAGTTCCTATACAGAAGTAGTCTGCTAAAAATTATATTTACTATGCTCTGGCCTACGAATGCGAACATGCATTCGTACGCGATCGCGAACGCGAACACGAATGCGAGGGCGAGGACGAACAAGAAGACGACTACGAAAACGAATATGAGCAAGAATATGAATACAAATAAGAAGAGCAATACGAATGTGAAGACAAAGGTGAGGATGTCGACGAAAACGAAGACGAAAACCTATATGAACCTTATAGCGAAGACGAATATCCCCACGAAGGCTCTACCAATTCGAAAGCGAACAGGAAGACGAACACGGATGTGAAGGAGGAAATAAATAAGACATCTTCATCTTCATCTTCATCTTCATCTTCATCTTCATCTTCATCTTCATCTTCATCTTCATCTTCATCTTCATCTTCATCTTCATCTTCATCTNAATCTCAATCTCAATCTCAATCTCAATCTCAATCTCAATCTCAATCTCAATCTCAATCTCAATCTCAATCTCAATCTCAATCTCAATCTCAATCTCAATCTCAATCTCAATCTCAATCTCAATCTCAATCTCAATCTCAATCTCAATCTCAATCTCAATCTCAATCTCAATCTCAATCTCAATCTCAATCTCAATCTCAATCTCAATCTCAATCTCAATCTCAATCTCAATCTCAATCTCAATCTCAATCTCAATCTCAATCTCAATCTCAATCTCAATCTCAATCTCAATCTCAATCTCAATCTCAATCTCAATCTCAATCTCAATCTCAATCTCAATCTCAATCTCAATCTCAATCTCAATCTCAATCTCAATCTCAATCTCAATCTCAATCTCAATCTCAATCTCAATCTCAATCTCAATCTCAATCTCAATCTCAATCTCAATCTCAATCTCAATCTCAATCTCAATCTCAATCTCAATCTCAATCTCAATCTCAATCTCAATCTCAATCTCAATCTCAATCTCAATCTCAATCTCAATCTCAATCTCAATCTCAATCTCAATCTCAATCTCAATCTCAATCTCAATCTCAATCT